GATTCCGCGTAGGTATTTATATTTGCAGCTTTAATATTAATACGTCATTATTATAATATATATATATAATATATATTATTCGTCTATACATACTCGTTAAATCGTATTCGTTAATTTAATATATATTATACAAATAAGATTGTGAAACTAAAATCATATTTCATCTAAATAATTCACAAAAATAGTATACAGTAGATAACGAGCACAGTGGCGTGCGTGCGCTCTCCGGACGTCGGGAGTCGGGACCTCCCGCGGCGGCGCGTCTGCGGACCAGTCGAAAATCGTATAATGAGCCGACATGCGCGCGCAAAGATGGCGGCGTTCGCCGTCGCCGCCGCCTCGACCGGTCGTAGCCGATTGAGATCTATACAGTCGGCGGCTGCAGCTACAGAGCGTTATATTATTATCATTGTCATAGACGATTTAATATTATTATCGTCGTCGTCTGTACGATTATTTTACGCACATAATATATAATTTAATATTATTATATGTTTGAGGAATATAATATTATACGCGTCGACCGGCGCAGGTGGACCGCGACGACGACATCTCAATATAATTATATACATTATATAGGTAGGTATAAACATAGGTACGCGTCTAACATCTTTATATTTTCCTCGTATATAGAAACGTTCAGCTCTTTATAATTTATATATATATATTATAAAATATATTAAAAATTCGGTCGTCTCATCTGCAGCTCGTCCACCGCCCATTATACATCATACCTATAATTTATATAATATAAATATATATATACTTACAATATATATTATTTACCGAGAAATGTTTTTGTATTTTTTTCATAGAAAACTGTTTTTCGAGCAAGTATGATGGTGAGGGAGATACGAGACACTATATATATATACATTATACAGATTATTGTATTATTTTCGGTCGTTTGTTTTCCGGGCGTCATAAAATTCGAGCACCGGCGTTCGCCTGCTGCAACCGCGCGCGCACTTACAGATTGAATTCGACGACGATCCCCTATCGCGAGACGCACAAATATAATGATTTTGAAAGTCAGCTATTATACTTATATATCATATATGTATATGTGCGTATGTATATTGTATGTATGTAGTATGTATATTATATTGTCTATATATATATATATCACCCGTCGTTCTTTAGCCGTCGACGACGCTGCCGCCGACACAATGCACAATTTTCCATCTCACCGGTTATAATGTAATAACGACGCCATGTATAGTGCTATACCGTCTCCCAATCTTCACGGCCATCCCCCACAACTACCCATCGGCAAACAGACTCTGAAAACTCTCCCTCGGCCGCTGCATGCGCCCATTCTATTATATAAGAACCTATATTATACATAATTTTTTGTTTTCCCTTTACTCGAGTTTTTGTTATCGCTCGCCCTCTTTTCTCGCGACATATACCCATATGTACAATATATATATAATATTTGACGTTTTGTCGAGGGGCCGTGACTAAAAATTCGTACCTTTATAGTTTATATATATACCTACTTAGGCGGATCGGCGATGATGCTTTGTATAGGCGTGTATATATAATATTATATTGTATATTATATAATATATAATGGCGAGTATAATATGTGTTTCTGCTCTGCACAATAGGATAATATAATATATAGATACATGACATTGTATTATTGCTGCTACACTGTTCGGCGTCGACTGCACCGCGATTCGAGAGTCAACACCGCTTTTGTTGTGTCGTATATGTATATATAACATATGTAGGTACAAAAAGAAAAATTTGTCGTAGGTACAATGTATTTATATATATAGGTACACACACATTAGACATAGTCCCTTTCTAACGTCCCTCGCCATGTATATATTATGTACAGCACTAATCTGTCTGCGTGTGACCTTTGTCACGCTGTTAAGATTTTATATAGGTATTTATAGGTATATATTGTAAGGTTTAGGTTCGCTGCGCTTTTGGGCGCACGCGTTGCGCGGACGCGTCTTTTCACGCGCCATTTCCTTTTTATTTATTTATTCCCTTCACATTTTTGGCGCTTCTCTATTCATTTCTTCACCGGTGCAAATCCGTCCGTCGCTTGCAGCTCATATAGGTATGTCGTATTATATCATATATAGAAATATAAGTCCGCGCTTACACCTTTAATCTGCCGCGTAATGTAGGTATATAATATTATAGGTATACTGCAGTGCGTTTTAACGGTTACAACAATAATACACAATATAATCATATAATATGTACCTATATGTGTACTGCACATTCCATTATAATATATGTCATGCTGTATTATAGCATATATATATATATATAGATACCAGCTTATATGGCGTCTGTTATTTGAATTCGTATTTCAAAAGTCGCCGGTCAGACGTCCGGAATATATATACACGCCGCCGCCGCATATCGATCTACACACGCTCATAATATATATAAACCTTATATGTATAATATATATTATATACATATATATATAGCTGCAGCTTATACATACGTAGGTAAACGACGACCGTTATCTCTCGTAAACTCTAAAAGGGTTGAGGTCAGAAATACAATTTATTTTACCGCCGAACCGTCGTCCGTAATGGGTTTTCATGATATATATAATATATAGCTAGGCATATAATACTGGTAGTGAATACTTCCAGAAGGATTGTAAATACCTATACATACTTATATATATAGGTATATATCCCGCGCCGCTCACCGTTTTCTAATAGTTTTGTACGCAATATAATGTAATATAATATCGTCTTAGAACTTTTTGGACGTGACGAATAATAATATATTATTTTTGACGAGCCGGTTCCCGAACAGTCCAGTCATCCTGTTATATTATTATGTACGAAATTCAAATATATAGAACCGGAATCCGGATTTGTTAACTTCATTTTTACATATAATATTATATATATAATATAACAAACATCATTAAATATATACGTAGGTACATATATAATATAACCTTTACGAAATCCGCAGCAGGTTTCAGATATTATACTTATATTATTTTCTAAATCACTCTTCACGTTATAAAATATAGATGTTAATACATTATATAGGCCGGTTTCCATCTGCCGGTTTTCAAAACCCAAATAGGAATACGCATAAAAATATCGTGTTTAAAACACGTCAACGAGTCAATTAAGATCCCCGTTGTCTGGTATGATAGGTCTATATATATATAGGTATATTACTGCTGCAGTACAATATGGAATATAATACCTATGTGTTTATTTCGAAGACTATAAACTTATGAATTTTGAATAAATAAGAGTCACATCATAAAAGATCTAGGTACCTATACGTTAAAGGTTGTTTTATTAGGCATTTTTATTCAATCGTCAAATTTAGGAACAAAATCAAAGTAAAGATAAGTCCTAAGTATAGTAGATTTTAAAGTGTTTGAGACATTTTTCTTCACGCTTAAACTAAAATATATTTAGGGTACCTATACCTACCTATACTCAAAAATTACTAGTACTTAATCATAAAATGAATGGGTTAAATCAAACCGTACTTACATTGTTGGGGGTATAATATAGCTATCGAGTATTTTTAACGTATAGGTAGATAGTTTTGATTCCATGTGAAACTCTGTGATCACCTAAAATTCATTTTTTGATCTCACAATGTCCAACAGTAGTCGTTGGTTCAATCTTCATTGTGATTGTATGTATACGGTATATTATGCTCGTGAAACGACTAAAAAGTTGGAGGGCGCGCGCCATCATCATATAATTTTTTGCCGCGACGAAAGGGCGCCTTTGATATCGTTATGGCGACGGTGGCGGACATGAAAAATATAATAATAATAATAATAATAATATTTCTTCTCTGTAAGTCGTGTGTGTGTGTGTTTGTGTGCGTGGTATACCTACGGTAGCGACGCGGCAGCAGCAGCAGCGGCTCTGTCCGCACGACGGCCCAGAGAGCAGCGCTGTTGAGACCGCCGACGACCGCACGGCGTTGACGCGTAGTTCGTGGCCGGTCCGCCAAGCGGCGCGCCCGTCGGACCGACGTGAGAGACGGGAGCGCGGCGCGCGCGGGCGCGCACACACGCGCACACGGACCGGCGCGCGGCGACGGTGCACGCCGCTAAACACCAACGACAACTACTACTACGCGCTCGCGTCGGCCCGTTTGTGAGCCGTCGGGCGCGGTGTGTCGTCACCCGTCATCGGCGGTCGTCACTTCTCACGTCAGTCCGCTCTCGTGCACCGTGCGTACGAAACTTCGGACCTCCGCCGCACACGCACACGCGCCGTCCGCGGTCTCGGTAGTTCCGTCGCGTATTTCGCATACACGATAATAACATTAAAACATCGTCGTCTCCCGCGAAGTTTTGCCTTTCCGATATTTATTTATTTTTTTTTTTTGTTATTCCATCGTTTGTAATAATAATTTTTAAATTTGTTTATAATTTTTCAAAAGTGAAACGGGCGAGACATATTTTATCCTCCCAACGGGTTTTTTTTCACCGTGGGCTTATGCGTTCGTACTTGAATTTTTTTTTAGTTCGACGTCCAAAAAAATCCCCGGCCGCACATGATCGCGTCGTCGTAGTAATCGCACGCCTGCCTCGTCCGGAGGAGCTGCGGCAGCGATTTATATAAAATATAATATATATTATATTATTATTAAATAAAATATATACAACTGCCCACGGGAATTATTATATATAATATGCACAGCCGCTATAATACTATATTATATAAAATTATAATAATATAATACTCTAAACTGATCTGGACTTGTCTTCTTGTGTTCTGTTGCCGACCCTGACCTAACACCAACCGACGTCTGGACGCCGCCGATATCGTCTCCTGCTCCAAAATCTCCTCCGCCTGCGGTCGTCTATCACCTAAACCCCGTACGAAACCACAACAATTATCATCATCGGCGACCTCGGGGACGCTGCCGTCGGTACGCTGTACGGTGGCGGTGAACACGATGTTACCACCGGAGCAGGGTGCCCGACCCCGACAGCCGGACCCGGGCTGAGTTGGTGGACGATGATGAACGGCGGCCTGTACGAGGACAACCCGCCGGCACCACCACCTCCGTCGTCCGTGTCGCTGCAGCCGTCGTCGGTGGACATCGCGCGCGCCGCGCCGGCGGCCGTCATTAAAACGTCGCCGTCGTCCACGCCGATTTCGTCGTCCATCACGCCACCGCCACAGCAACAGCAGCAGCAACAGCAACCACCACCGCTGTTGCACATACCAGCCAAGCGGTTGCAGTCTCATTCCATCGGCGGCGGTGGCGGCGGCGGTGGTGGTGGGTACGAGTGCATGGACACCGCCGCCGGTTCGGCAGGCGTCATCAGACATTCGCACCACCAGTGGAACGCGTACTCGCCCGCCGTCGTCGACCACGCCACGTTCGACCAGTACGCCGCTCCGCCTCATCACCACCACCACCACCACCAGCCGGCCGCGCCAACCTACTACAACCTGGCAGCGGACGCTGGCAGCGGTCACCATCACCACCATCACCACCACCGGGCGTCCATGGACGGCGGTGGTGGCGGTGGCCGCAAACCACCCACTGGCCTGCCGTTCTGGTCACCCGCAGCCACAGACTATTGTGGCGGTGGCCTCGGCGGTGGCGGTGGCGGTGGTGGCCTGGCCAGTAAATACACCAACGGCGGCGTGACGCCGTGCAGCAGTTCCGCCGGACCTCCGTCCGCCGCCGACCACCATCACCAGTTCTCGCAGTCCTGGTGCACCAACTACTCGCCGTACACCACCACCACGTCGTCGTCGTCGTCGTCGTCCGTGGCCGCTGCAGCCGCGGCCGCAGCCGCAGCCGCCGCCTCGGCGTCCCGGCACCCGTCCGGCGGCGGTCCGGCCGACACTCCGCAGCCGACGTACCTGCAGTCCGGCAGCCCGGGCGACGACCGAGGCGGCAACAACTCGTCTCGCATGACGTCCGGCTCGGCCGACGGTTCTGCCGCCGGCCCGTTCGGCCACGACAACGCGTACCAGCCGCCGCCACCACCGCCTCCGACGTCGTTGCCGCTCAGGAACTACGGGAGCTCGCACGATCCCGTCACGTCGACGCCTTACCCGCCAACAGGTACGTACACTTTTTTTGATAATCGATGGAGATTAAAAGATACCTCACTGTGACTAGGAAGTTTATTTTTGTGTATTTTAAAAATAATGTGCGTGTCACACCTTCAAAATACTTATGTATAGGTAGGTACATCGTTTTACCTTCTCGGGGACGAAGCGATAACAATAATAATAATAATAATAACAACAACTTCGCGTTTGACCCGGTTGTGGGTTCTGAGAACGATGTATAATATATATAGGTACGTGCCGCGGGGTCGGAGACTTGTATAAAAATTTTGGACATAAATATACGATTTCAAAACAAACACGACGTGCGTAATGACGTAATATATAACCTTTTCTTCTTCTTTTTCTTCTTCTCCTCCACCCCCGATATACATATATATTATTATATGCGTGTGCACTGTGCAGTATGTATATATAGGTAAATGTGCCGCCTCCTATATAATATGCATATGCCGTAGTGGGTGCCGCTGAAGAGGGGTGGTGTGCCTATATTATGCATATACCGTATATATACGTGCAGCACTGCACATTAAGTATATATATATATATAATATTATATACCTTCATCGGGCGCGTACCTATATATATATATGTATATGCATGTATATATGGTTTATAATATTATTATTATTATTATTGTGCGGCCCGAGCGACAGAGGCGATACGTGCACGGGCGTCCGTCCGCGCACAAAAGGACGGGCGGCCGTAAAGTATACGATTTTATTGGACGGGTAGGTCAGCTGTCTCTGCGGCAGTTCGATGCCGATGCCGCCGCGTATATTATTATTATCATTGTGTGTGTGTGTATTATACATACCTACTATACACGGCCAGAGCAGCACTCACGCAGAGCGGCATCGCGAGTCGGATCGTCGTCGTTACGGCCTGGTATATCGTATATATACCTATAATACCTACCTATACAGCGTGCGGGGTCCAGATTATAATAAAATAATAATAATAATAACGTTGACGATGACGATGACGATGATTATACATCCTGGTGCTACCGAATTCGTTGTCCACCTAATAATGACGTGTACGAATTTAAATAATACTAATATTAATAATAATAATAATAATAATAATAACAATAATAATAATAATAAATATTAGGTAGGTATACTAATGCAGCAGCTGTGTAGTTTCAATTTCGACTGCGCCGTGTGAACGCGAACGCTGGTACCGTTCTAGACCAGCTTTTTAGAGGTTTATTCTCGATGTATTAAATGCATTTTATCATGCTCAAATCTTAGTGTGATGCGCACGTCATTATAATATTATGATGTCATTAATGTGTGTGTGTGTAGTTTTGAGGATCGTTTGAACGCGGTACCAGCGCATATATTAATAGTTTGTTTTTATTTTCTAGACAGTAGTAATGTGCACAAAGTATATTAGATAAATACACGAAATAGTTATTACCTCTTATCGTAAAACAAGTATATACTTATCAAGATGCAATTTCATATAACAAGGAAAAACACAATTTATTAAAGAAAATAATACAAAATTACAAATACTGATCTCAAGTACCCGTAGAATGAATTCAATAAGAAATTAAAAGAGCTAGTGTAACATCAATCATTATATAATAAATTTAAAAATAAACATTTATAATTTTTGACTTTGTAGAATTTAAGATACAGCAAGCATGCTTGCTATTTTTGATCGCAATTTAGATTAATGTTTTATATAATATAACTAAGTAGTTATAATTAGGGATTTTGAATTACAAAATATTTTTGCAAATTATCATAGAACCAATTTTTTATATAATAATATTATATTATAAATACGCGCGATTCGCGTATATTATAGCTCTGGTGTTTGAGCAGCTCCGACGACCGCCGCGCAGCCCGTCCCAAACGATCTATCATCTAAACGGCTAATTTTATGTTTATATTTTATTTGTCTCATGAAATTATGATAAAATACAACTCCTGCAGCAGCACCGAACCCGATCAGAAGAAGATCAGAATGGCGAAGAATAGAACCGCCGTGAAAATAAAAACCACATCATAATATAATAAAATAATTTGAAAATATGTCATCTGGGCGATTTGATTACTCGCAGACAGTACTAGAGGAAATCGAAAACGCTCTTGAAAAAAACGTTAAAATTGAAAAATATTGCAATATTATTGTAATATGCATATGGTCGCGTAGCCGCCGCCGCCGCCGCTAAAGCCGACCGATGTCGCGTTCCGCCGCGAGTAATTTGCAGCTGTCCCCGCGGCAAAGCGTAGAACGGCCGCGACGTCCGCACCCTTATCACGGCGCATCTTCTACAGTTCTACAATATATAATATGCTGGTTTTTCTGCGCATTCGGCCGCCCATAATGCGACCTATAGGTTTACGCCACGAATTCTGAAAACCATTATTATTATTATTATTATTATTATTATTGTTGTTGTTGTCGTACGATGTTATTGTTATATTATTTTGTTTGCACAAATTCACGCGGCCATTATATACTATTATATTATACCGCAATAACACAATAATATCGAATCGGCGCGGCCGGCTCGGTGGTCCCCGGAGGATCAAGGACGCCGACGACCCATAAGTTTTTCCGGATTAAAAGCTCGGCCCTCGCCGCCACCGCCACCTCCATCTGAATTTTCTGTCCCGCGCGTGTCATACTTTGTGATATTATGTGATACATTCGGGTACCTATAATAGACTATAGCCCTCACTATGTTATGTCCGAAATGACTGAATAACGTCGACCGACTCTACTCGTCGACCGCGGAAAAACGTCTAAACTATAATATTTCACTAGACTAAACCATACTTAGGTGTTTTTATTACCACGGTTCTTGACAGCTTTATGACTCGAGACACTTTTTACAACTGCGACCGCCGCCGGTGCTTCCACTGAACTGCTTCTGATGCATGTCGATCCGCGCCTGCACCCGCCATACAATAATATAATAATATTGGGTATAAATTATATAATATCGTCAAACAATTTTTAATTTGCAAAACTCGCCAACGATTATGCCCATATATTGTATGCTTACCTATAATCGTAGGTACTAAATTCGGTGCGCAACGTGTAACGATAGGACAAGCTCTGTTTTGTGCAAAGCATTTTTATATATCATAGGTTATCCATATAAAAACACGATCGCTTAGGTTATAATAGTTAAACAGTATAGGGATTTTAGACTGAGAACACCCATTTTAAAATTAAAGATAATATAGAAATTATTTTCGAGGGCACCGGGGGAACAACATTTCGTTGGATGGAAATTCTAAAAATATCGTTCGTTTGTGCTGTGCCGCGAGTTTAAGATTCAAAAAAGTACATTGAAAACGGTTATGTTTCTCGGCTAGACGTTACTCCTATATAGTACTAACTGCTTTAACAAGTATTTTAACTTTTTCAATAACTGGGTTAATGAAGCAACCAGGTTTTCATTATTTTTTGTCACTCAGGTAGCCGAGAGTTCATATAGTTATATACATTTCACGGCAATAATTCCTATTTTCTACTATATCCAAAAAATATGGTGCCACAGGGCTTAAAGAAGAAAGGAGTGGAAAGGGACTGAGTGCTTAAAAAGAGTTGCCATTAACGTTTCCTCCAAAAGCTAAGTTTAACACTCAAACATGCGACTTCAAATAACTGAAAACTTTTCTTTATTTTTCAAAATGTTTCTTATCAAAAAACAAATACATTTCATTCTATTAAAGATGTTAAGTTTGCAAAAACAGAATATAGTATTGTGATGACAACAGCAGAGGTATCTTCCATCGACAGCTTCGCCGGGAATTAAAATGAATGTTGACTTTGATCTCTATAGTATAATAGTATCTCTAGACTAAACTATAAGCGTTATAATATTTTACTAATGTTCCTCATTCTATATGAACTTTCTTCATATTTTCGTATACCTTATAGACCTTAAGTCATGATATAAAATATACACTTTGGTAAAATCTATAAAGAGGTCATAGTGTCCCCGTTGTTGTTTCTTGCTACTTTAAGCCCTGATATCAGTGTTGCAGTTCAACTCATATTACCATATTTATAAGAGCACAGGGGACATAATATTACTGCAAGTCATTATCGCTACTATACTCAAATGTTGACGACCACTGTCGACGGTTCCGTATACACGAGATTGTTATTACTTGTTACTAAATATCATTATAATATACGTGTGTACGCCGACGACACTTGGAGTGCCATTTCGAAGGAACATAATATTACAACCATAACGCGTGTACGCTCACTATTATACCACACACACACACACACACACACACACACACACATACATACACACGCACATAAACGTGAGCGCGTGTGCGCGCGTAGAAAAATTTAAATTCCGTTTATACTTCAATATAACATCTGCTTATTATTATTAGTTTCTACGCGCGCGACCCGTCTGCCCCCGTCGGCCGGGCGTGTTTTATAATATTTTATATATATATACTATATAGGTACACGCGCTCCTCTCCTACGCGTTACTTTGTTCTATATTATACAAGTTATTATTATTAGTATAATATGTCGCGAGCAGGAAAAAAAAAACATTTTTTAATTTTCCAAGTCGCCGACGGGGTGTGCGCGTATGAGTGCCCCCGGAGGACAGCTGCGGGGCCCGTCCGACCATATATATATACTATATTATATTATATATTATTTTGTTCCGCATTAATATATAATATTATGTATTATGTCTATATATGTGCGAGCGTGCGCGTAGGTTTATACTTTGTGTAACACGACACACCTCGTAGCTGATTTCCGATTCGGAAGCTAATAAGCCGGCGGCAATGCGAACGACACATGCGCATTTCGTCGGACGAGTTCCAATAGCCTTTGCATTACGAAACCCCAACAAAAACTACATTTTATAATGCATTCGACGGTCAGAACATATACCTATATACTATATTGTACCAATTTAACGCAGTATAATATATCCGATCATATATTATTGATTAAGTATAATATGGTAACATATAACGCCTATTTCTGGGCTTAAAATTGATTCACTATACACATAGTATTATATAAGAGTAGGTGAACGTATGGTATTGTATAAATAAAAAATACGGGATTGACTCTCGTTTCGAAATTCACTAAAAATCCGACAGCGACGATCGTATATAAAAACGCGTTTTGTACACATATTTTATCGGGTATACCGGCCGCGGTGTACTGCGCTTACAGCAGGGGCGGTTTGTTCGCGAATTTCACCCCAACCGCGCGAGGGATGTTACTCGCAGACGAGAACCAAATACCACGAAAAATTGCAGATTTCCAAAGAAATAGTCACCGGTCCTACCTACAAATTACCGCGACGGGGGAACTCTCCCGCCCATTTATACTCGCGCAATATATATATATGTACCTGCAGCGTTCCCCTATATACTTACACAATATATATATATGGTGTAAGGGTGTTTATATATATGAGGACATATGTTAGGTATATATTATTATATGGCTCATATTAAACCGTGCAGCGATCACCCGCTGCACCGCATTCGTCGTGTACCTACCTACATATTGTAACCGCCGTGCGTAGTTGATCGACGAACCTATATGGCTACATTATATTATATTATTGTGTGTAAAACGTTTTTATATAAGAGCGATTTGACGATTTAAACAAGAATATATATATTCAAATTACCGATGTTCAAGACGTATACAGGTATACGCACGACCTGTACAGATACGGTATATATATTCATATACTTTATAATTTGTATTGTATAGATAGCCATTTGACCGCGCCGATCGCCGATATTGTATATAATAGGTATTTGATCGAGAGCTGGTCCACCGGCGCCGAATCGGCCGTAAATATATCACTCTATATAATACAAGTGCAAATCGACCGTGACGTGTTTAATGTTATATCGTTGTAAAAATAAAAACGGTTTTCAATCCGTTTACAAAAAAAATAATAATAATAAATGTATGTCGGGAACTCCAGACAGTTGTAGATTATCATTAATAATAATAATAATAATAATAATAACGATAACAAAAATAATAACGCATGATCGACCACTGTTTTGGCTTAAAATTGATTTATACTTCCGATCTTGCTTTGCAACTTGCAATATAATCTTAACACGAAACCCTAAACGAGTGGTGAAATAAAATTATACAGGGCGCATCACGTAATTGCATTACAGCGATAAATATTATTCAGTTGATAGTGATAGGTACAAAGTTAATATTATACTAGCCCGTATCATTTTAAGTAGCGTTTCAATGTAAATTGAATCCAATATTCCGAATAATATTATCAAAAGTAAACCATTTTCATTGAATTATTAAACGTGTTGGTCACCAATTACAAACCGTTTTAAATGTCATAATTCCAAAACGTTGTAATGCAAATAACCCACAAGTCACAACTATTACAATTCGATTAAATAAAAAAAAAATACATATAATAATTACTAGAATTTCAATAAACATAATATTATATTAAAGGGGTTAAAATATAATAATAATACAATGTCATTGTCACATATTATATTACACAAATATTTTTTATGAACATTTTAGAGCACATAATAATATTTATAAAGGTATTTTTTTACTAACACTGTTCGTTTTGCTCCCTCACAGGTTCATTGTCGAGCATTGGTATGGGCGTTGGGACTAACCCGCTGGAGTGGACGGGTCAGGTGACCGTGCGCAAGAAGAGAAAACCGTACTCGAAGTTCCAAACGCTTGAGCTGGAGAAGGAGTTTCTGTTCAACGCTTATGTGTCCAAGCAGAAGCGCTGGGAGCTGGCCAGGAACCTGGCGCTGTCCGAACGCCAGGTGAAAATATGGTTCCAGAACAGGCGCATGAAGAACAAGAAGAACAGCCAGCGGCAGGCCGTGCAACAGCAGCAGCAGCAGCAGCAACAACAACAGCAGCAGTCCAACAACAACAACAACAGCAACGGCAGCGCCAACGCCAATCACCAGCATCACATGCAGGTGATCGGCGGCCACCACGGCAATGGGCCCATCAAACACCATCAGTGACCGTCGCACTACTCTGGAGCCGCCGCCGCCGCCTCAACGGCCGCCGCCGCCCACCCACCGATGCACATGCACCACATTCATCATCAACTACAGCCGCTGCCCCCACCTCACCACCTCCACCATCATTACCCGATGCAATCCGTCTGAATACTTAGGGCGTAAGTCCGAGTGCGACGTAAGTCTTGACCTATTTCACATAACATAATAGTAATAACACATTCGCGGAGAAGGGATCGATCGCTTTTTGGTTTTGGGCGTATATAACGTGACCGATAATTTTTTTTGTTTTCCGTCAATTTTCGTCCCCAAACAATAAAACATGTCAATCAAATTATAATATTTACGGGTGGCCGGAAATCTTCCTGTACGATGTCACAGTAGTTAAGTAGGCCCGTATAACGTCAATCGATGAGTTTCCGAAACAGATCTCGCCACGGTATTATGACGCAATCGCGGGAAGGGCTTCTCTCCCGTCGCCGCCGTTCCCACGAACAAGTCTCTGCACGCCATGGGTCCGTTTACTGCAGTGAAAATCGTACCCCTCGGCTATTCGTATACCTATATAGATATATTATATTCATAGTTCTTCCATAAACCGGATGAGGTCCGTCTCTTATCCCGAATCTCGCTCAAAAACAATTTTATATATTTAGGTAGTCAATCTGCGCAACCGTCGTAAATCGACCGGAAAAATAAAACTCATCACTGGAAAACAAAATAATATGATATACGTACTTATAATAATATAGGTATGACATTCCAAAACGGTGGGGTAAACGTGGTACGTAGGTAGGTATACACATATTTTAATCGTATTCGGTTAACAATATTATTGTGTATTATTTTAGCATATTTTTAGGTGTATATTTAAAAAAAAATATACATCGGCTCCAGAGTGTCGACATTTTATAATACTGTTATAAAATTCATAATGTTTAAACGTGTACATACATATTATTTATACATAAAATACAATTTAAGTTACTACGTTTATGTATTATATAAAATATATGAAATTATACTATTAGGCTAAATATACAATACATAACGCAATGTGTTTTTAATATAATATTATAGATATTATGTATATGTGTATTTAACGAAACGTGTATATGCCGCAATATAATGATGTAGAATATAATAATAATAGTCCCCGAGTTGGACGCGTTCGAGTGTGATGCGATGATATTGTTATTATTATAGCATCGTCGTAGGTATTTTATTTAAAAAGTGTTGTCGTTTCTTTTTCCTTTATTTTTTTTTTATTTAGCATCTAACTTAAATAATAATATAAATGTAATGATAATAATGTAATGATTATAATGATATACATAAAACTATATAGATCGTTTCTCGAAACATAACCAGTGGTTTTAATATATTTATTATTATTATTATTATAATTTTTTTTTAGATAAAAAAACAATCGATCTCCGTCTTTAAGCGAGTTTTAGCATTTTCTTATATTTTTTTTCTTATATTTAAATAATAAATGTGACGTGTAAATATGTAATATATAATGTCTAAATAATAACTAAATATATAATATATACGCAATACGCATATTATAGGTATCGTATGTAAGTCGTATGCATAATATTATAATATTATTATGTCTAATTTAAAAAACTGCAGTGGATAGGTAGTAGTCAGTTTTTTCGATTTATCAATCTTTCCCCTATAGTATTAATATTATAAAACGTTTTTCACACACACGAATACCTATATAAATATCCCTAAAATAATTTCAGAATTTATTGATGTATGACAATATAAATTAATAATTAACACTGACGAAACAGTAATAACAATACAACAGTTTCAGGAAAAACGGTTTATCGCGGCTTTCGTTTTATTAAGTTTTTTCTTTATACATTATAGCTACAGCATTATATTGCAAACATGCAATCCTTTGTATAATAGATCTATACACATTTTTCGTTACAAAAAAAATTATAATTAAATGACCAAAGTCTTATTAATTTATTATACATCCCGATTTATGTGTGAAATACATCTGGGAAATAAACAAACGTGTAATTTTTCTTTCTATTGTTTTTTTTTTTACGTTATTTTGTGTTCTGGTTATGTATGACTATTATTTTGTTGTATTAGTTTCATTATTATTATTATTATTATTATTATTATTATTATTTTTATTATTATTATTATTATTATAATTATTGTCATCATAATTATTATTTTTTTTTTCGTTCGGTTCGACTTTAGTGTTTAAACATTATTTATTGGTGCCAAAATCTATTTTATTATTGTTTTTAATGTGACCCCCCCTCCCATCCCTTTGATAACGCTTAATTCGTCGCGTAAAACGTATATATAATATTATAAATATATGATAGGTATTTTTAATGTGCCGTCGTTATATTTTATATATAGGTAAGCAAATACTATATTATACAAAAAACGAATGCACTCAAGTTTTTCTTTTTAAAAAAGATTTCAGAAAAAAAATGTCTTTACTGTATATATTGATATTATAGATTATGGGAATATAAAAAAAAAAATTTGTAATTTATTATGACATTGTATTAATGAACGAACTTACGCGACCGAAATGTTGTTTTCAATATTACTATATGTATCGTCATCTGTATATCGACCCAAGTATACTAATAATTTAATGTTATTCGAGCGTAATTATAATATTATATATTATAATGTATTACAATACTTATGCACAGTAATAATGTAGTATGGGCAATATGAAAAACCGAAAATTGTGATTATAGTCGGTTCGCGTCATTTCTGTGTATTAATGTTTAAAAAACGAAACGGATAATAATTTTTTTATTATACCTATAATTGTACCTTGTAAATTTTGATTTATTTGTAAGTTAGTGTAATTTTTTTTTTTGTTTTTTGCTAATAAGTAGACTACATATTATTATTATTATTATTATTATAATTACGTGTAAATTGAATTCTATTTCAAAATTTGCTATATACATATTATTATATATTATTTACTATTTGTCCTAAATATATTAACCCGATTTGTTATATTAGTATTTTAATAAGAAAAAAAAATCAGCGTTAACCATCGGTGTTGTTATTTACACGCATTAGATAATACACAACGTGGTATACATTATTGTTGAATAATAAAATACAATAATAAATTAAACATCGTCATGCGACGGTCGGATTCGGAGTTTGAGCAGAAATATTTTCCAAGACCGATTCAGCCGTCCCCCTATAGGTGTAGGTACCTACGTAATACATAATATATATAATATTATTATACTTACCTTCAGAGTCGGCGGGCAGAATTGCAGCTGTGGGTGTCCGACGTGGACGTCTATGCATACATATCGTTAATTAATTGTCGTTGAAACGAAGCGTATCGTGGATATACCTATGTGGCGTGTAGAAACGCTCGCATAAATATGTATAAGAACAATATAGGTAATATTTTATTAATAACCGCGTCCAACTACCGTGCAGTCATATATTATATTATTATTATTATTATTATTATAATAATTCTTCGTCGCGATTATTGTTTTCCCGCGATATGCGACCTTGAACGGACACCGACAAAATAATATCATATGTATAATACATGTCGTGTATATCCTCGTACTCGAGGATGTCACCCACTATACCCCACGTAAGTATAATAATATAATGTACCTATACTTTTGTCTCGATCGACATTGACTTGGATTTTGTCAACGTATATAGTCGCATACAGGTAGTAGACTAGTTTACCTACCTATATTATGACGCCTGCTTCGATTTTTCACAATCCCGCCGAGACTTTACTGCCAGTTAGTATTTTTTAAAACTATTTACTTACACAAATTTGTGTGTCGAATTAAATTAGGAATCGCTTGAATATGCTGTGGTGGTGTACTTCCCTATATAGGTATACACATTTTAAATGTAAACAGTATTTTAATTTTTAACTAATTAAAAAAATTAAATTGTTTGCATTAAAACCAGCAAATATATAGTTTAAAAATCAAACAAGTTTTATAATTTTTCCGCTACACATGTCACTGAATTTAAATATTAATTTGTGTCATGCGTGCGTATTATACAAGTCGCATATATATATAGTAGAAAGGGGAATGTACAGTTTTGATGGTAACTCGAGTTATTCCCGTTAACATAATAAACCAATTTATTACGATCCATACCGGGTGAACCTTGGAAAACAGGAAAAACAGTGCGTTGCACTATTGGGCATTTATATTTAGGTTTATATACCTCAATCTGTGATTATGCCATGTGGCCTATATACATATTATCAATTAACTTGGATGGTGATCGTTCTTCTATTAAATACTATAATATAAACATTACAATAATATATAACTTTACAACCACCTCCAAAGGTACACATAAGTCATAAATCATATTATTATACGCTTGTACATTATAAGTTTGTATCTATCTGCAAAAATTGCAGCTCCCGTGATGCATCAAGTCGCCAGTGTTTGTTCTCGGCAATCGGCTCGGCAGCATATCGACTGCTTTAATATGCAGTAAGGTACATATTATATTATACTTGGTATACAGCTACTTATAGGTAAGTAGTAAGTACGCTTTCCTCTCGGCTAGACTTGATTTGAATACCGAGGTCGATTAGCCAACGAACAAGGTCATTTATAATTTGTGAGTGACTCGAGAACGAACAATTTTAATTTTTTCTTTAGTTTATTAGTCTCTACAGTGCCAACTATGGTCGATGCTGCAGTGATAATTAACAATAATTCGCACTTAAAAAGGTATTAATTATGAACAGTCGTTTCGTATATAGGTTATAGAGTCATGCTGTATGTACATGTGGACATGTAGATGCTTTTAAAATGTTTTTGAACATGATATTTATACTTTTGAATTCACCAATTTTTTTAAGTGTCGAAGGGGAGAGCTTACGATCAACCCGGCAAGTCTATTCTTATGCTAAACTAAAAATAAAATAGTTTAATTATTGAGAGCTGATGAGGACGGCCAATCACATTTAATTGATT